TAGTTACGCTTCAGCCAGTTTTAAATGTGCCAATCCTTATTTAAATCAATCTGAAATCATTTAATAAGTTACATCTCTTAAGTAAAGCATTTGATGCTAAACCTCAGAACAAAATCTTTCATAGAGTACCGCCATCAAAGCCCATTAAAGCAGCAATAACGTGATTGCGTGCTTGGTGTATCTCAGCACAGGATGTAGAAGTCTTTTTTGAAAAAGTTAAGTTCCTGGCCGGGCGCGGTGGCTCAAGCCTGTAATCCCAGCACTTTGGGAGGCCGAGGCGGGTAGATCACAAGGTCAAGAGATCGAGACTCAACATGGTGAAACCCCATCTCTACTAAAAATACAAAAAATTAGCTGGGCATGGTGGCGCGTGCCTGTAATCCCAGCTACTCAGGAGGCTGAGGCAGGAGAATTGCCTGGACCCAGGAGGCGGAGGTTGCGGTGAGCCGAGATCGCGCCATTGCACTCCAGCCTGGGTAACAAGAGCGAAACTCCGTCTCAAAAAAAAAAAAAAGGAAGAAAGAAAGAAAAAGTTAAGTTCCTAAGAGTTAGTACATCCAAAGATTTCTAGGGAAATGTAAGCAGTCTTTTAAAAAAGCAATTGTTCAGTTCCAAAGTCTGTTTGTTGGAATGTGTAAGTCACCCCTACAACTTACAGAAGAAAAATGAAATAGATTGGTCAGTCATTGAACTCCTTCTGTCCTCTGATCAAACACAGATCTTTAGGTGGAAACTCCTTCACCAGCCTTCTCCACACTTGGCTCTCACCTCTGTGCACAAAAAGCCAACAAGAGGCTGATACATTTGGATATTGTCTCCTCTAAATCTCATGTTGAAATGTAATCCTCAGTGCCGAAGGGGAGCCCGATGGGAGGTGATGAATCAAGGGGGCAGATTTCTGATGAATGATTTAGAACCACCCCCTTGGTGCTGTCCTTGCTATAGTGAATGATTTCTCTCAACATCTGCTTGTTTACAAGTGTGTGGCACCCTCCTCGGCGCACTCTCTCTCTCTCTCTCTCTCTCTCCCCCCCCCCCTCCCTCTCCCCCCTCTCTCTCTCTCTCTCTCTCTCTCTCCCTCTCTCTCGTTCCTGCTTTGGCTACGTGATGTGCTTGCTCCCGCTTCACCTTCTACCGTAAGTGAAAGCTCCCCGAGGCCTCCCAAGAAGCAAAGCAGATGCCAGCACCGTGCTTGTACGACCAGCAGGACCACGAGCCAATTAAACCTTTTAAAATAAATTACCCGATCGCAGGTATTTCTTTATAGCCACACAAGAATGACCTAACACAGGGGCCATTTGCAGTTTGCTTGATTAGGGACCTGTCTCCATGGGACAATTTAGAACCAAAAGGAGCACTTAACTGCAGCACACATGAGCAGAAGAGCCGCGAGGTGTTGGCAATGAAACAGACGTGGAATAACAGGACGGTCTTGGCCCAGGGACGGTGCTCAACACAGATACTTAAACAATGGGTAAGATTCCTCTCATTTCCCTCAGCTACTTCCCAGGACTCTAGACTTTCGAAACTAAGCTAAAAATGTTGCACGCTGCGAAACTTTCTGGAGCTCAGGACATCCCATTGCAAGATGCTGCCAGCCTGGAGTTTCTTAAATTTAAGCTTGAAGGCTGTGAAAAGAAGCGCTCTGGGCTCTGAGGGCTGCTCCCTGATGTGTGATGGGCACCATCTTTTTCAGCCACTTACTGCACCCTTTCTGATTTTGCCCTGGAGGGTCCAGTTTGAGGGGGAGGGGAAAAGAGAATTCCAGAGCACAAAGCTCTGCTTGGGGAAGATTAGGTCCGGGCAAGATGCTGAAGCGTGCAATATGCAACCCTCCAAGCACCCAGGAGGGAGCAAGAGCCACAATAGGGGCACAGGGTCAGAAGAAACACTGACAGGGGAGACAGGACGGTCCCCAAGACAAGCATTCCTTGTTTTGTCATAGTTTCATCACAGCTGGCTCTTAGGTAACAACTGAAAGTCCCGTTTAATCTGCATTCAGTAGCCTACTGTGTGTCAGGCCCCAGATGAGGGCTGGGACAGCAAGATGAGATGCTGTCATCACCCTTGAGGAGTCACAGGCTAGTGGGGTACAAGACCCATAAACAGACAATGTCAGTGTCATCCTTGACTCCCACCTGATTCATCAGGAAAACTTCTCAATTCTATCTTCAAACCAAATTTATTTCTCGCCTCTTCTGCCACCTTATCTGGGTCCAAGCTGCCATCCTCCTTCACCTGGATGGCAGCAATGGCCTCTCAGCAGACCTTCCTGATTCCATTCTTGCCCACTAAGGGCTCTTCTCAACCCGGTGGGAAAATCTTGACATCCACTGCATCATGGCCCTCTAGCGGTTTTCCGTCTCACCAAGTCCTCACAGTAGCCTAGAGTCCCATGAAGGTCTGCTTGCTGTCGAGTCTCATCCTTGCTTACCCTGCCCCAGACACACTAGTCTCTCCCTGTTCTTAAAAATCCCAGGTGCGCTCTTGCACTAGGGGCCCTGTGCCCCCCGTACCTTCAGTCCTTCCTCACATCTCACCTTCTCAGAGGGGCCACCCTGACCACCCTATTGGAAAGTATCCCTTCTTTCCAGTTCCCTACCCCAACTGCTCCTTCTAGCACTGCCTTTCCCGGCCCACCTCCACTTCTCAATATTTTCCCGTAACACATCACCCTCTATTATGCAGTATAATGTATTATTAATTACATTTATTATTTGTTGTCAGGCTCCCTTTTGTCTATTTTGCTTACTGTTGAATCCCTGGTGACTAGAATAAGCCTGGGGCATAGTAGATATGTAATGAATGTTTGTGGAATGAATTAAATGACTAAAAGGCTAAAATGGTGAAGTGTGCAATGCACTGAACCGGCACAGGGAAGGGGAACTGGCTCATCGTCCAGGGAAGGCTACAGAAGAATTTTCTTTTTTAGGGCAAGTTAACCCCTAACTGAATATGGAAGGATAAGCAAAAACCAGCTGAAAAATGTACAGGAGGGAACGCTGAGCTACACTAAGAAGTAAAAGAGTAGTGGTTTAGTATATGTGGTTAGCTGGAGGTGGGGGCAAGCCCCTCAGGGTCACACATAGTCAAAGAAACACTGGCAACATGCTGGAGATTCTACATGAAAATATACTCATTAAGTAGGCCATGTTTTGTAAGTCAGTAAAATCGAGATAACAACAGCCCGTGCTAACATCTGTTAAATCAAGGTTAAAATATGCTGAAGTGGAAAAACCACCTCCTTACTGTTTTGTGCCCCAGGCAGTTTCAGTCCAACTTCCTGTTTCATAGGATTCATTCTCTTAGAGGGCTTCGCTGGAGCTTAGGTAGGAAGGAACCCAGAGCGCCTGCTGCCGCTGGAGCTGCTGCCCTCCGCGGGGACTTCCCACTACCCCCTTGGGCGCTGAGCACATGTTGACTCAGGACCCTGGACATCATTTTTCATGCTATTCAAACACATCAACATAGTGAGAAGCCGAATCATTTCCTTCATTGAGATCCTGTCCCCAGATTTCATTCTCTCCTTGGCATTGACTTTTCACCTGTCTGTGCCGATTACAAGTTACCAGGGTGAAGAGGACTTGCCTCCTTCCCAGAGCAGACTCACTCGACTGGGGGCACATTCAGAGCAATCAGAGTACAGAGGGAGAGCAGAGAAGGCTCCAGGGCTGAAAACCAGGGGCACTGAGCTTCCAGCTTCACAGATGCCTTTAGCTAAGGAATATTTGTTCTCAGTTCTCTCTTTAAAATGAGCTTAAGAACTCAACCTGGTGGTGACTTAGTCACTTACCCTTTCTAAGCCTTAGTCAGGATACATCAAATTGCTTGAATGAAATACTGTAGAGAAGTTGTTAGAAATAATACAGTATTTGAAAACACCAATCAAAAGCCTAAATAGGTCAACCCGGTGGTACACATTTCAACAAACTCTTCTCAGTGGTATGAATCCCTGACTTCACCATAAGGCTGAATGAGGCGATTCTGCTCAATAACACTTTATAAAATAAAGAGAACAATTCTACAAGTAACCAAATCTTTATCAGCAAATTCCCTTGCTTACTAATTAAGAAACCTGAAGATTCTGATAGGAATGAAGCACACCCCTAAGGATGAGAAAGGGGTAGGGGAAGAGAAAAAGACAGAGGAGCCAGATACAACTCAATACAAACCATTGACGAGCACTGGGAGAAATGCATCGAGTTAGGTGTTGAAACAGAACATGAGGAGGAGTTCGCCAAAGGCAACATCCTACTTTGCCCCTTTCCACGGAGCTTGACGCAAAAATAATCTCAAGGTCACTCGGAACAAGGATGACATGAGGAGAACATGAAATAATGACAAGGACCGCAGCAACTCGTGCAGTAAGAGCTAACTCATTACGGTCTGGACAGTACGAAAACTGCTTCACATGCATCAGCTCATTTGCCCTCACAGGATTTAGGAACTATTCATCCCCATTTTACAGGAGAAGTAAATAAAATTGGGAGGCTTGACAGCTGTCTTACAAAAGCCACTTCGTCAGAAAGTTTTCTTACCATGACTCGTGAGCGGCAGAGGTGGAACGCGCACCCTCCATCTACCTGACTCTCAGCTGCACTAAATCAACACGATGAATGAGTGGAATCATGTGCTGCGTTGAGAAGCAGCTTCCATCTGTTTGGTCCTGATTGTCTAAGCCCGTGTTTACTTGTTTCCATGTGACTTCGATTAACATTGAGGTTATTAGCCTGGTGCTTAGAAACCTAATGTTGACTGAACGATTCTAGTTTCCCCACAGACAGGGGAACGGCTTTCTCTCTCAAACAGATGCAACCTCGTCCCAAAAGAAAGGCTAAAACCAGTTCAGTTTTAGCCAGTGTTTTTCTGAGTTGAGGTTTCTCTTGCATTCATTTGTCTTAAATTTCTCAAAAACAAACTCTCTGGAAGACACTGTTTCTGGGCCCTAGGGAGGGAGTCGGGCAGCTGCCCGCACGGAGATTACATTACTCATTACTTACCATGGTGCCAGTGTATTCTTCCAGTTTAGCCTCAGAAATGGCCTTTTTGTGGTGAAGGAAGAGGTCTCGGAGGAAGTTCTGTTGCGCCAAGAGAAGAGTCATACTTTATATAGTGAGCAAATAAAATGCAAAATCTTTAAAGGCCTTAATTCAAGAATTGTGGGTTTCCAGGAGGAAATAAAATGCTTTTAGCAAGCAACAAATCCAAGAATGGAGGGCTGTCACTATTTATAGGGAGCTCATGGGACCCAGGGAATAGCTGCAGCATGAAAAGGTATCATAAATGCTCAATTATGCTTCTTTTCCAGAAAGACCAATGTGACTTGCATTTTCTAAACCTTTAAAAAATGAATATATATATACACACATATGTATTTTTTGAGTAACACATTCAAATACATCTTTCTTGGGCTCACAGAAATCAAACTCATGATACACACATATCCAACTCCCAATGATGAACAAACCCGCCCTTCTCCCAGTGACACTTACGCGGAGCTCAGCAGCTGATATAAAGCCGCTGCTGTCGGCGTCATATCTGCGCCAAATCTGAAATACACAAAATTCATTCATTCATTTATCCTCAGAAAACTTAGAATCATTACGTGGTATCTACTACAGTTCAGCATCTGAAAACAGCACTTAACTGAATGGAAATTCCACGTTTAATGGGAAGCTTTAGGCTTTCTTTGGTGACAGCAATTTGGGGGCAGAATTAATCAGAAATGGATCACTGCATTCACTTGGAGCCACTTAAGGAGGGCCACAGTGCTTTCAATAAAAGCCTATTGAATGGACTTTCATTGAAAGGGTCCTTTGGAAAGCTCAAAATGGAAAGATAAAAAGGGATGAACTTTAATTTGGGGCAATATGACAAACTAGGAAACCTCCTCAGTACTAAATACCAAAAATGTAGCAATATGAAAACATTGCAGCACTGTAAAACATGGCTATGAAAATAACTTTTCAATTATATAGCTTAGATCACAAAAAAAGTGAAAGGACTTCTAGGAGAACCAACATGACAGGAAAGCACAAACTTAGAGCGGTAACATCGGACTGAAACCAAAGCCTGTCCCGAGTACATCTGCTGGTCCCTGGCAACAAAGCCTGCACTTTTATGAGAAAACTGCACATGTGGTCTACAGGCAGTAAGTCACCGGACCCACACAGGTGGAACATCAGATTGAGGCGCCTGCTTTAAACCAAAGCTTCAAAACTAAAGCCTTAATGAAAGACGAACTTGAAAAAATGACTCTGCAGTAGAGTCCCCCAAGAAGCCTTGCCTGTGCGGTCCTGTCTGACGGAGGGGTAAAGCACCGCTGATAATTCCCAGTTAAGAGCTACTCCTCCCATCAGTGTGAGGCCAGCATTCATCCAGCTGAACAGGCAGTTACTGAACTGGAACACAGAACAGCTGAAAATCTTTGAGGAAAGCAACGAACAGCTTTCTTTAATAAATGCTGTTACTCTCCCCACTTCTGATTATTCCACGAACAAGCCTCACATCAATTGACAAGCTACCTCACTCTGGTACAATATAAAAGGTTAGACTAAGTTTTGTTTTGTTTTGTTTTTTCATGGACAGATTTTTCTTGGATCCTAAATGGGTTGCCTATGTTCTGTGTTACCACTGCAGGAACCGTAATGATTAACCACAATCAGCGTCCGGAGTTCAGACTCTGCAGGGATAGTAGGAGGTATTGATGCTCATGCTGTGTTGACACCAATACTGACATTTGGGGATAAAATTCAGAAACATCGCTCCTTTCAGACCCTGTCATTTATGTCTGAATTTAGTCCAATTTACAAAATCAATGATTAAATGTGATTTGTACTCTAACTTTTATGATGTGAATATGCCAAAACTTTGAGAATTTCAAATAATTTTGACAATATTTTGAATGCTTTTTAAATGCCATTCACCAAGCAATTTCCATCTAAATTATTGTATAGTTTTACTACAGCTGAGCCATTGGAGAGCCAAAGATTTTTATGTGAATATTCAGCAAGACTATCTTTAAAGAATAAAGACAAAGGAAAGACATTTCCAGACAAACGGAAGCTGAGTTTATTACCAGCAGACCCTCAGTAAAAGGTAGACTCTAGGAAGAAGAAGGAACAGGAAGAAGGAAATCTAAGATATACAAGAAGGAATGGTGAAAAAAGACAATGGTAGCAATGTGACATGTGGTGACATACGGGCAAATTGAAACAAATCTTGACTGCGTAACAATTGTGGGGTTAAAGAAAACAAGATAAAATTAATATTCTGGACAATAATGGCACATGAGCTGGTAGATGTGGGTTAAGAGTTATAGTGTGTTAAGATCCTGTGAAAAAGTAAAAGTCATTAACTTAGTAAAAGTAAGGTAAAGACATTAACTTAGAATTCCTCAAAATACATCAGATAAAACCTGGGCACGGTGGCTCATGCCCGTAATCCCAGCACTTTGGGAGGCTGAGGCAGGCAGATCACGAGGTCAGGAGTACAAGACCAGCCCAGCCAACACAGTGAAACCCCGTCTCTACTAAAAATACAAAAATTAGCCAGACATAGTAGCAGGTACCTGTAGTCCCAACTATTCGAGAAGCTGAGGCAGGAGAATTGCTTAAACTCAGGAGGCGGAGGTTGCAGTGAGCTGAGATCCTGCCACTACACTCCAGCCTGGGCAACAGAGTGAGACTCTTTCTCAAAAAATATATATACATATATATTTATATACATATAAATACATTTTGTTTCTTAACATATATGATATGTCACGAAGGAAATGCAATACAATATATGACATATATATGACATGAAGGAAATGCAATACTTTATATATATACATGTCATATATGTATATATATATACGACATGTATAATGGGACATAGATATCTTATATCCCATATATATCAGACATAATGGGATATAAGATAGTTAATCTTAAAAAATGAATTCAAGAATTCACAATGATAGTTCTAAAAACTGGGTAGAGAAAGGGAAAGCTCTTCTTTACAGATAAAGTTGACAAACTAGAAATGTCCAAAAGTAGAATTAAAAAAAAAAAAAAAGAAGCCTCCACAGGGCCCTGTGCTTTCCCCAGCTCTCAAGATTATTCAAGACCTCACAAGGCCTAAGATTTTAATACTTTTTTCTATATTCATGAATTTTTTTCTGAAATTATGTTAACTGTACAAAAGTAATGAAATACAAAAAAATTTATACTGTCCAGAAATCCCCATCCTGAGATAATTACTTATTACTTCTATGTGTTTCATTTCTATCATGTTTCTATAACATATGCTAAAAAACAGAATTGGGGATCATATTGTCTAGACACTTGGGCAGTCTAGTATTTTTATTAAAAAAGTTATCTGTTTTTAAACACAATTAGAATCATTTTGAAAATATCATTTAAAATAAATTTTAAATAATTATGACTATATACAAAACCAGAAAATACAAAAGTACAAAGAATAACATCACCTTAAATCCTACTGCTTACAAACAAGCAATATTTATTTGTGTACATTTACCTATTATCTTATTATATTCAGGCTTTAAGGTAAATAATTTTTAAACAAAGAACAAATTCCATGTACACTTTTTTTTCTTAACATTGTATTACATTTCCTTCATGTCATCCAATGTTTTTTGAAAACTTGATCTTCAGTGATATGTAATGTTCAATACTGGGGTTTTCTCTAATAAATCTGTAGCATCTTGCATATTACAGTGCTCATAAAAATTTGTAGAATGAATGAATTATGTGAATACATCATAACTTACCTAACTTTTTCATTATTGTTAGATATTTGTTATTTTCAATTTGAACTATAAGTAACACTGCAACATTATATGAATATTATTGTACAGAAAACTTTTGTCTGCATCTCTGATTATAATCATATGTTAGATGCCAAAAAAGTAGAATTATTAGTCAAAGGACAAAGTTTTTTTTTATAATTCACTCTGGATAATGAAATTTTAAAGGAGGCTGATTGAATTTTTATAAAATTGCTTTTCCTAAAATTATTCCACAATGTATGCCTACCAACAGAATCAGTGACAATCTCTGGGTTTCCTTAAAAGCACTGTAAATTGTTGTAAATTTTCTTAAAATCTTTGCCACTTTGCTTAAAAAATTATTGTCTTAATTTGCATTTCTTGAGTTACTGGCGTAAATTCATGGTCCATTCATGGTTCATTCGGAATTTCTTCTGTGAATTGCCTATACACATGCTTGCCCAATTTAACATGAAGGTAAACAAAATAGTGCAAAAGGATAATAACTTAGCTCCTAAATGGGGACATGGTAACTCTTTCTAATGGGGGCCCTGGATGCAGTGGCTATGCTGAACCTGCTGCTCTGACCTTGGACAAACCCTGATCTGCCCTTCCCTGGTTGTCTTTCACCAACAGAACAGTAACACTGAGAGGCTGAGAGACGGGGTAGCCCAGCGGGAAAGCGGTAAGAGAGCCCACTGATTCTGCCTTTAACTTTTACTCTCCCATGATTATAAACAGAAGGCCCCTTGACTGGACCGGCACTTTCATAAATGATGTTTTCACTGTATCATCACGCCTTCAAACTAAAATTAGTCGCCACTATTTTCTAGAGTCTAGATTCTAGACAGCATTCTCAAAAGGCTTCAGATGGGGCACATGCTCTCTAGTTCCCATAGTCCATCACCTGCCCTCCTTCTCCATTCTTCAGTGTACCTGCCTGCCCTGTTGTCTAAAGTTTCCTCCAGCCCAAGCTAAAGGAGCCTGTCAACTCAGGAGCACCCCAGATCAGCACTGAAAAAGAACACTGGGGTTCAGCAGCAAAGTCCTGGCTCATCACTAAGGCCTTTTTAGCTTCATCCTATCCTCTGTGCTCAGCTTTCCCATGAGCACTGGGCAGGAGTGGTGGCAGCCACAGCAGGTGGCCAAGATCGTAGTCTTGTCTCAAGCCTCTTTCTCCAAAGAGACACAACCAAGCACTTACCTGCATAAACTCCACGCTGCTGTCCAATGGGGTTTCCCGGCGAAAGAACAGAAGAAAGTTTTCATCCTCAGATAAGAACATACCAGCAAGCTAAAGGAACAGGAAGAATAACAGTCAGGGGCCCTGGCCAATGTCCATTTGAAGAGGGCTCCCTGGCAAAAGGCATGGTGGTATATATTCCAGGGCAGAAGGGCTCAGATCTTCCAGGACGAACAGCTCAGTCTGCAGTTCTGTGCTCTTGATTGTCACTCTTGGATTCATTGATTCTTTCAGAAAGTATCACACTCCTGTTAAGTATAAATTGCTATGGATACCTGCCTTCCATCGGCTCATAATCTAAAATAATGATGACTATAACTTTAATATCAATAATAAATTTGTTAAGTGCTTGATATGTTCCAGGCCCTGTTCTAAGAACTTCCAATTCTAAATTAATTTAATTCCATAATAACAGAACATAAAAATAGCAAATAAGGCTTATGTGCGCCAGGCCCTGTTCTAAATGCTTATGTATGCTAATTCATTTAATCCTGATAACAGCCTGTAGGGTACACACTGTACCATTACTATTATTTTCCAGTTAAGGAAACGGCTATACAGAGATAAGGAAATTGCCAGTTGTGTAATCAGTGAACATGTGGTTTAGTGCATCCAATTTGCTGTTTGCCCACTCACTATTCTGTTGATGCATACGCTGATAGTTTTACACCCAGTATAATGAGAATTTTTGGTTACATATACAATTTTTGCCTTTGATTAAAAGTTTGGAAACAGCTACATTCATAAACCTAGAGTTGAGTGTATTAGTTTTCTGAAAAGGCAGTCTCCTGCTGAACACGTCCACCTTCTATAAAGGAACATTATCTTGCTCTGTTAACATAACTTCCTGAAGAAATTGCCCTATTACTATCTTCAGTAATATGGACTGCTCAAATATGGCAGTGTCACAGCATCAAGAGACTGGCTCCCTCAGTGTCACGTAGTATGTCTCACAGACAATTCTGACTGACAAAGTATCTTCATTTCAGATTGGCTCATTTTCACATACAGATTTATAGCTACCTGGTATGCACCTGCACAGATTCATAAGCAGGGTTCCACTTAAACCATTGCCCCTTATTTGGTCATGTTATTCTAGGAAAGTAACTCAAGGCCTTATCAGCAACATAGGGATAATATTCCACGCCTATCATCATCTTAGCTACTATGGGAATACAGTAACAAAATATAAGTGGAAATCCTTTCTAAACTGTAAACATTTTTGTAACTGGACGGAGAAATGATCAGGTAAGCTGTACACCATCCACAGCCCTGCACGCACAGCACAATTACTTGTTTTAGTATGTGCTCCATAAAAGTGGGTTAAGTTGAAGGAAAGACAGCTGTTTTCTGTTGTGTTTAGATCTTAGGAATAGATTTTTCCAACCTCTACTGAGAGCTGATGCTGAAGTTTACCCTTTTTTATCATCAGTAAGCTTTTCCTCGTATCAATGTTCAATTTGAACAGGAAGCTATATAAAGAAACAAATTCTGGATCAATTGAAAGGCCTCTCTCATTTCAGTTCCCAAATTATAAATCAGGTACAAATAATGACTGACCTAAACAAATGATGAAGGAATTGCACACTCTTTGTTACTAAGTAGATTAAAAAAGAGAGGTGATTACTTTTAAAATGTTTTCTAGGCCAGCTGTCTTGCAGAAAGTTCTAATTTCCCAATCAACTGTGAAGTTTCCATTGTATTTCAGAGAATATCCCAGCCCAAGATGACAAAGTAAAGAAAAAAGCAGTCAAGGACGGCAGAGTCTGAAAGATGCAGTCATGAACAGTACCTCTTTCATCTGAACACGACCATCTTTCGAGGCATCGTGGGTGGTCATCAGCTGCTGTTTCACCTTGTACACAGTTGCTTCCATGACTGTGTCCTGTGATGGATGAACCAAAGCTGTATTAAAGCCACTGGGATCTCAAACACATAGTTAGGATGGCAAATATCCAAAACGCACAGCCTGATCATTATGTTATTCAAACCTGGAAAGCAGGTTTCTTGACCATTTAAAGTCATTTTACTCTTTTGTAGAAGACAGAACAATGCTGGATGTTTCTTGAGCAACTAAGCACTAATCAGCATCTTGACTAGGTACAATTCACAGTTAATGAGTTACTAAAATATTGAAGAAAAGAAGCTCAGAGACTAGGGTGCTGAAAGAACGGATTTGAACAGTGTCGTGTTTGTAAAAGACTGTATTGTAATTACAGATTTTCTTCCCAAGAACTCAGAGGTTTTACATCTTTTAACTGAAAAGTCCAGCTCGTCTGGGCCCCCAGGTGCCTGTAACTCATTTTTAATCTTTTGTATTCTCCAAGGGAAAAAATAATGAGAAGGGAGAAATAATTAAAAAGAAGACCAAAGTAATAAGGTAATTGCTGAGTTAACCACAGATGTTACAACTCCCGTCTACATATAACCTTTTCTACACATGAAATTGTGTTCTTTGGTGGATTTTAGGGTTCCTACAGTAAAAGTTATCTCTGTAACCAACAATAAAGAATGAATTCTGATGCAAGGGTTGAGAAGCATAGATAATCCCAAACTGCCCAATTCTAAGGTTCTAGACTTGCTGACATCTATGCTCAATTCATTCATCATGCTGTCTCTGCTCCCAAGCTCTCCAGCTGTGTTAGGAGGGCTGAGAAGAGGTGATCCTGTTGACTCACTACCCTCCCTGTTGGTGTTGGGGGTGGAGGTGACAGCCTCCAGGACATGCTCTGGATGTATCTTCCATGCACACACGTACAGGACAGTTCCCTGGGTGGCCTTAGGCTGACTCAGCTCTTCTGCCTTTCTCACTTGTATTTCTCAAGAATAACCCTAGCGCATGCTGGGAATGCAACATCCTAAGTTAAGGAAGAACTTGCCAGAACAACCCAGGCTCAAGATGTCCCAAAACACTTTCGCCAAGCACAACACGTTGCCTTCAGGTATAAAACCCAGAAAAGACTGCTTTCTATCAAGCACTTACCACATGCCAAATACAATTCTGGCCCCTGGTGATATTACAGTCAGCAAAAGAGACCTGGTCTTTGCCCTGCATCACAGGCTGATGGAAGACATCTTTGTCCAGCCTTTCTTTCCACTGACACCTCTCCCTATTGGGTTACAAAAAAGTCAGGAGGTGATGGGAAGAGAAGTGTGGTGGAAAATTAACATCTGCCATGTCCAATTCACAAGAATAGGAAGAAGACCAGGTGAATAAACATTTCTGGAGTGCCAGCCAGAGGCTGGGCACTAAGCCACGCTCTTTAACAAATAACACCTCCCTGGATCTTCACAATGGCCCTGGGAGACACAGAACAATTTACTATACCCTTCGGCCCCTGGCTTCTTTGCTGGCCTGCTGGCTTCTTCCTCTATGGGGAATTTTGCATGTTTGTGTGTGTGTATGTTCCAGCTTCTTACCCGGAAATTCTTTTTTATTATTTTCCCATCACTCGCTGAGAAAATGTTCTGATTTTTGTAGCCGTGACTTGGAGGGGCTGTCAATCCTCACCCTCTCCCATTAGGCTGTCATCTCTTCAGCTGACCTTTTGCATATGGCAAAGAACTTGCCAGAACAATCCAGGCTCTGTTTTAGTCCTTCCTAGAACAAAATGTCTAAAACACTTTAGCCTGGCACAACATGTTGCTCTCATGCATAAAGCCCAGCAAAGATGCATATTGCAAATGTTTTCCAGGGAGCAGAAAGTCTAGTAGAAGAGTAATACAAACTTTTCACCTTTCAGATCTTAATATATGAAAAGACTAATACTCAAATTTATGATAATTGTATCCACTGATGCAGTATAAATCCAAATATATGATTCATTCAGCTTAGTCTTTATGATTTAGAAGAGAAAGAGTAAAGGAGAAAAAAAAATCAGAGGATGTTTGGCACTTTTTTCTAAGAATCAGAGACACTGCCCCTTCATTTTACTTATGAGAAAACAGGCCAGAAGGGTGATGCAGCTGAATACTGACAGAACATTCTTGAAACCGGCACATTTGATATTTGGTCTGGTGCACTTTCCACCACACCATGTTGTTGCTCGGGATGAGGCAGAGAGCACCTAGTGGAGTCACTGCATTCCAACATTAAGTCGTTAATAAATGAGAAATGGTTCAAATAAAATGCAAGGATTCCTTGGTGGCTTGCTTTGGGGTTTTTCAGGATAGGTTCTGGCAACTAGTTAGAGAACCAGATGCTTTAAATATTGTAAGGCCCAGAAAGTTGGAAAACCTATTCTTAGAAAGCCAGGGAGCACCTTGGTCGGCAAGAACAATTTTAACGCTAGCGGATTCCTGGCCATTATCGCTAGATCTCGGCCCCTGACGTCGGCATCTGTCTCACTAACTTGTTGCGGGAGGTGGGTGCGTAGCAAATGTTTGATGTCAGGTTATAACAGTGAGGTAGAAAAGATGCCGTGAGCTGATGTTATTTAAGACATCGGATCCTGTAAACTTCCAGGACTGCTGTGGATATTGGAAATATAGGGAACTGCCAAGTTTCATGTCAGTCAGCAGTTTACCTCTTCCCTGCTCAATCATACACAAACTTTTGTCAGCAAGTATAAAGATAGAATTGTACTTCCTTTTTAAATTTTTTTCACTTGTTGCCTTTTGCTGCAGGGGATGATAAATAGATGAAATGCACGCAACAGAAAGAGGTTCATGAATTATTGGCGTGTGTGGTTCCCAAATAAATAATGAAGAATAAACTTTATTTTAAATAAATTGCAGTGAAGGTGAGTCTCCTTGCAAAAAAAAAAAAAAGTTATATGAGTAACAACTAAGAAATTAGCATCTATGTGTATAGCTATTTTTTAAAATTTTAAGCCCAAAGCACTAGCACTTAAGATTGAGATGATTAGCAGTCAGATACATCTGTGTGTGTCAAGATCTGTGTGTGACCATATCGAGGTCATCTGCTGTATCTGTGGCTTCAGTCCTGTATTTAGAAACCCCAAATGATTGAAATAAGAGGGCTGGGACAGTTTGACTCTGTAAACATCAACCAAACATATTCATTTGGTGATCACAAATGGGGAGCAGTGAAGGGCCTGGTCAAAAAAAATAATAATGAATACCTTCCTAAATGAACACACACCACACTAAAAATACGAAGAAATGACATTAGTCATTTGGAACCAAAGCATCAAGTGAAGAAATGAGAGATAATGCCTGTATCGTTTGTCTAAGACACAGCAAGTGTAACAGGTCCTGAGGTGACTGTCTGTTGTCTTGTCTTCCTTTGAGTAGTCTCCTTTACGCATGAAGGACCAAAGGGTGGTGGTGGGTAAGACTTAAGGCATCCTCCAAAGGCTACCCTGGCTTGGGAAACTTGCTTTCATAAACTGGAAATCATATATATATATGATCTCTCTCTCTCTCTCTCTATATATATATATATATATATATATGATCTCTCTATATATATGATCTCTCTCTCTATATATATGATCTCTCTCTCTCTCTCTCTCTATATATATATATATATCATATATATATATATATATATAGATCATATATATATATATGATCTTAAAAGCATTTCTATGTTTAAGAGAGTAAGCTTCAATGATCCTGTGTGGGGTAACCCCTTGGTGGATCTGAGGCAAAGCAGAGCTCAGAATAAACACTGGGAAAACTAAGGACCCAAGAAGATACTGCATCACCGTAAGAACATATATGCTGGGTGCTCTTGCAACTAATAGTGCCTGTCACTTGTTATCTTATTGGTCTTCACTATGAAACGGGCAGGCCAAAACATTATAATAATAATAATTGTTATTTTGTGGAAGGGAAAATTGAGACCCAGGAGGTTTAAATGGCAATGTTGCTATCACACAGCTGTAGGCGCAGAGCGGGGGAATGAGCGTGGCATTTCCGCCTCCACACATAGCTGTCCTTTCCCCCCACCCTGAGCTTTCTTTGGGGTGGGCCTTCAGATACAAGAGGTACATTTTTTAATGCTCTGTGGAAGGTGAACAGGTTCTTTGAGACTCCAAGATTTTCTGTCAACCACGTTTCCTCATGTGACACCCCACTCATCGTGGTGGGATTAACCTATACAGTCTCAGCGCCATAGATTTTGTGTTGCTTACATTTGAGTGTTCATGTACCACACAGAAAAATCACAATGGAAATCACTCAACGGGGATGAAATTCGCTTTGCATTTCAGCTTGATCTTTTAGATTAACTCTTCAAGTACTGCACTCATTTCTTTACCTCTGGAACACAGGATCTGTTGGATGAATAAATGATTCTTTATGATGGGCTGGACATTTCCAAAGGAAGTTAATTAACATCGGTCATGTTGGTGAGAAATGAGATTTTAAAGTAAATAAATGTGAAGCCAAAGAAGCAGTGGCCAGATTCTACATTACCTTTAGTTTGAGAGCGCACAATCTAGGCTTCTGTACTCTCAGGCCCCTAACCCCAAAGCCCGTGACTATACCTGAGAACCAAAGCAAAAGAAACTGGGGCTTCCTCTGTTGTAATTTACCATCAGCCCTTATCTGAGACTCTAGGCTCCAGCAGGATACCTCTAATCCCCGAAGCATTGAAAGAGGCCCATGATGTGGCACAGTCTGTACATGAGGGGTATGTACACATAGAATCTGATGCTCAGCCATGGACTGGCATTTGAAAAGAAAAGGTTTGCAGGGAGAAACAGAAACAGCAGCAATTACAGCTGATGGTTCCATTAAGTCAATCCCCTCGGAGGCTCTGAGGACCAGGTAATTACAACCAGGCTGGTTGCTCTCCTGGATAGGCTCGCAGGCAGCTTGCTGTGAGAAACCTCAAAATACCTTCTTCTGAGATCTCTGTGACCCACTAATCAGCAGAGGGAAGTAGAGCTATTCATGCCTCTGAAGGATGGCTTACCACTGCTGAACACCAGAGTGAGGGGCTGCCTGATTGCAGAGGCCTCCCTGCTGCTGGATTCTGTGCTCACTGGGCATTAGCAATCAAAAGCAGGTGTCACAATCAAATGGTGACTGTTTCTCAGCTGAAGGGGCTTCCTCTTTGGAACTTCTGCCCTATTATTAAGAACTTGCTAAAGGTCTACTTATTATTCATCGGGAGAAAGCCCAAAATTAGGAATAGTTTCCTTAACCATGGTTGTCCAGGTAGCACGGAGGGCCCAGTGAGGTCCCCGCAAACACACTCCCCAGACTAATGCCCCAGCATTTTTAAAGGCAACCAATGGCAGATGATATCATTTCTGGTTAAGAGTTCAAACTTATCACTCTGGCTCGAAAAGCTTTCTCCCCAGCCAAGTACTCATGAGATGTGCCTGGGAGTGTTGGCACAGCTCAGTGGGGCTGGCCTAATTCTATTAGAATCCCCTCTCCAGCAGTCGCTGTTCCTGGAGGAAAAGAGCGTAAAAAGACATGCAGTCTGACTTTGAGTGCTTTTAAAATAAAAGATCCTTGACAGACCTCAAATGTATTTAAATACCTACAGAATGAGACCTAGGGGTCTGCATTTTAACAAATAAATATAATTCTCAGGCACACTGAAATCTGATTTGCACTACGTTAAGGATTCTGAGACCTATCAACCCCTTTTCCAGCTTGAGAGACATTTGCACTGAATGCAGTTGTACAGAACACCAGTGAGTCATTCATTGTCCCCTTTCCTCAAGGATTATGCCTGCCCCTGTCTAAGAGGGTTAGTCCATGGACCAGATCTGAGATAGGGACAATAATAAAAGCAGCCAGGCTGCAAGAGATAACATCCCTCTTTGCTCTCACAGTGGCAACAATGCCTCTAAGGTTAGCCAAGACCTCAGATGAAGATATCTCACAGCATCCTCAGCTTAGAGCAGACTCCAACTTGATGAATGAAAATGAGACACTCCAGTTTCAACATTGAAAATAACTTTTCTCCTCCCTTTCATAAATCACTAGAGCAATGAGCCCTCTGAAAAGGTAAGAAGTTCCAGGTCCCTGGGGATAGATTTATAGGAGTTGGCCCTCCCATTTATTCCAAGATTTTGAATAGTTTTACTGTCTTCTTTTCGCTTTCCTCAAATACCCCTGTCCATGGTAGGTAAGATGGATTCCTGGCACACGGTGAGCCTTAGTATTTACAGACATAAGTGGAAGCCCTGTGGACAAGGCTGGTGGGATTCACCACAGGCTGCTGGCATGTGAAACTGGCTGGCAAGATTGAAGCAGAAGCATCACCTGGGGGATGCTTCCTCAGCTCTACCTGAAGCTTGTATAAGTACAAGAATGAAGGTCAAAGAAAAGTGTGTACAAGTGTTTGGACCAGAGGAAAGAAGGAGCTCATGTCTCCATAAATCTCATCTGCTGATCCTTTCACTTCACAGGCTGCACAGGGTAAGGGGTGGAGTGCAGGCAGACAAAGAGCAATAAAAGGTACAGAAAAGGGGAGATAAGAGACAAAGAAATGGGTAAAGGAGAAAATGATAAGAAAAGAAATGAAGGGCAGGAAGAGAGATTGGAAAGAAAGAAAAGATAAATAAAAGACATGAGGAGAGGAGAGACCAAAAGAGCTTTGAGAAGCAGAGAGACCGGAAAAAGAAGGAGGAGAGAAAGAGACAGAGAGATGGAGAAACAAATGAGAAATAGAGATAAGAAAGAGACAAGAGAGATGAGAGACAGAGAGGTCAGAGAGGAAGGCAACAGACAATGGGAAAAGAGAGCCATGAAACACAGAGATGAGAAAGAGAAGTGAGCAGAAAAATGACAGAGACAGACATAAAAAAGAGAGAGAGACATGGAATATGAGAGGCAGACAGAGAGAGACCGAGAGATGTGTGTGGCTGAAGGAGGCAGACAGAGGGAGACCGAGAGATGTGTGTGGCTGAAGGAGGCAGACAGAGGGAGACCGAGAGATGTGTGTGGCTGAAGGAGGCAGACAGAGGGAGACCGAGAGATGTGTGTGGCTGAAGGAGGCAGACAGAGGGAGACCGAGAGATGTGTGTGGCTGAAGGAGGCAGACAGAGGGAGACCGAGAGATGTGTGTGGCTGAAGGAGGCAGACAGAGGGAGACCGAGAGATGTGTGTGGCTGAAGGAGGCAGACAGAGGGAGACCGAGAGATGTGTGTGGCTGAAGGAGGCAGACAGAGGGAGACCGAGAGATGTGTGTGGCTGAAGGAGGCAGACAGAGGGAGACCGAGAGATGTGTGTGGCTGAAGGAGGCAGACAGAGGGAGACCGAGAGATGTGTGTGGCTGAAGGAGGCAGACAGAGGGAGACCGAGAGATGTGTGTGGCTGAAGGAGGCAGACAGAGGGAGACCGAGAGATGTGTGTGGCTGAAGGAGGCAGACAGAGGGAGACCGAGAGATGTGTGTGGCTGAAGGAGGCAGACAGAGGGAGACCGAGAGATGTGTGTGGCTGAAGGAGGCAGACAGAGGGAGACCGAGAGATGTGTGTGGCTGAAGGAGGCAGACAGAGGGAGACCGAGAGATGTGTGTGGCTGAAGGAGGCAGACAGAGGGAGACCGAGAGATGTGTGTGGCTGAAGGAGGCAGACAGAGGGAGACCGAGAGATGTGTGTGGCTGAAGGAGGCAGACAGAGGGAGACCGAGAGATGTGTGTGGCTGAAGGAGGCAGACAGAGGGAGACCGAGAGATGTGTGTGGCAGAAGGAGGCAGACAGAGGGAGACCGAGAGATGTGTGTGGCTGAAGGAGGCAGACAGAGGGAGACCGAGAGATGTGTGTGGCTGAAGGAGGCAGACAGAGGGAGACCGAGAGATGTGTGTGGCTGAAGGAGGCAGACAGAGGGAGACCGAGAGATGTGTGTGGCTGAAGGAGGCAGACAGAGGGAGACCGAGAGATGTGTGTGGCTGAAGGAGGCAGACACCAGCCCCTTTGTTTCTGAACTGACTTCCTCTGCCCACCCATACCCTTCCTGTGTTCTCAACAATGCTGAAGAGCTCCTCATTACTCACTGAGCTCTCCGTGTCAATGTGATGCACTTCTGTTCTTCTAGACAAACAGCACAAACTAGCTCCATAGTTCACTTAAGTTCGATTGTCCTTAGAGCTCCTCCTTCTGCTATGCATGTCCTGTTGGAGCTTTCACCAGATGTAGCCCATCCCCAGGCTGGCCTCCACTCAGGTGTTGCTGTGTAAAATCTTTCTCTGCTTTGGTACAGAGACTCTCAATAATTCATTTACATCTCCCAAGGCCAGATTTACCATCAGATGGACATGAGATAGATTGGCTTCCATTTATATCTGGGCTCTGGGTATGCTGATTGTTTTCTGTTTTGTCATTCTCTGAAAAATCTGTAACCTCTTGTAATAAAATGAATAATGGGAAAATTATTTTAAATGATGTATTTGCTGTTGGCTATCAGAGGAGTATCACACATATCAAACACCCAGAACCTTAATGTGCTTAACATCTTTTCCAACTTTTTGAACAAAGGAGGAGGCTACTTTATCCCCAGGTATAAATCAATTAGCAGAGAGAGAACCAAGGACACATTCAAAACAAAGTTAACTGAGTTTACAGTTAGGCTCTCTGTGTGGATGACAGATGTTACACTGAAAGCCAGTGACCAGCATGTCTAATGCTACAGTTGCACCGTTTATAAAACCTGCCTAAATATTTCCATGTTGCTAGGAGAGGGAAAGAAATTACACACATGCAAGGAAGAAAAGAGGCCAGATGGAATTAATAGGTGCAAATCAACTAGGACTTGGTGCATGTATCTTACTAAGAGGCATACATTAAGGCTTGGTGTGTAAGTACTTACATCAGTACCCAGTTTCATCAACATGTGGAGAAAGAAAGCATCAAGTTCCTTCTCTTCTATGTAACCTTTTTCTAAATGCAAGAAAAACATAAATAATAGTAACATATAAAATAACACGACAGTTAGTATTTAAGTATCTTTTTAATCTCACAATTTATAAAGCCTCCATCAACACTATTCTTTGTTATTCCAATAACAAAGTGCCTACACCTGCCTCTAGAAGACATGAGTTTGAGCAGTAAACACTGCTCCAGAGTAAGTGCCTTATGCTGGGATTTATATTAGTATTTGGAAAAGGAAGGCTGTTAAGCACATGAATTTTAACCAACGAATAAACATGAACTTTGCAATAAAATTTAACCCAAGGATTTCTGAAGCTTGGAGAAACTTAACAGGTGTATGTACTGAACCTCAGTTTGCAGGGTTAGAACACTCCTTTTAGATATTTTGGCTTTTTATTAATAAAAAGAAATATTAAGTAGTTCCATTTTACTTTCAAGTAGTTTTTTGGTGGGGGAGTCGTTTTGAAAGCTGATAAAATTTGTCCTCATTTTGAAAGAGCGAGGGGTGTGCAACAAAGTCACCGGATAAAAGTCAGCACATTTAGGGGAGGATGACTTCAGATACCCGAGTCTCAGCCCATAGCCTTGAACATATAGAATATTTGTCATTATATATACAATATTATGTATTCAATATATATGTGTATCTACCAAATATATGGCATGCGCGCACGCACACAGAGATTGGAAAGGGGCACTAGTCCCTTCTCCCACCCCGAATTTTAACAAGGTATGTAGATGTGTATCACGTACGCCAAACGTCTGTAGAGGATACTGTATTAAGTACACTGCATTAACAACCCAGGTAGGTAACTTTTCCTACAGGAAAGGGGGAACTCTAGGTCCTTTCAGCGGGCTGAGCTTGGAGCCACGTCTACACCTGAGTGTGCAAGTGGCTTGTCCTACTCACCATCCGCGTCAAAGCGCTGCCAGACCTCCCAGAAGCCAGCGGCGTCCAAGTGCCCTGGCGTCGGGCCGCGGGTGCTGTCCATGGTGCTGACGACGACGACCAGGCACCTGCGCGAAAGGCCCTGAACAACTTTGGCACGGACTCTTCTACAGTATTTGACTCCCTCTCCTGCTGTTTTCGCTGTCTGATTAGCTTTGAGTACCTGCCGCTGGAAAGGATGCGAGGGCTGCTGGCCGTGGCGTCGCTGAGCCTCAGTCCTCAACAAAACCAGCTACTCGATGCCCTCCCCTTTCCTGGCGCGCGGGTCCCCGCCCCGCCCAGAGCGCCGTCCTGGCAGATCCTGTCTGTCTCTGCGCTGTGGGGGATTCAGGAAGAAAGAAACTGTCTCCAGGCTTCTACGGCTCACTGCTTTTGCCCTTTAACTTGTTTGTCAGACTCAGAGAAAACATCCCTGTTACACTTGACTCACCTTCCAAACTTGTGTCTCAGGGGGTTTTCTAGGGAGAGCTGCCTCATTTAAAGGGTTGCAAGAAGTGTGAGTGTCAGGACCTTTTGGACTTGAAGACTTAGAAGTATAATGAGTGGGGAGGGGAGGAGAGGGGAGGGGAGAGGGATGGTGATGGTGGTAAGTGGTTGCCTTTAAGCAAGGAGTAAGTCAACAGCAATTATTGAATCCTGATTGTATAGGACATACGCCTTAATGTACCATAATGCACTATAAGGAATTGGAACTAAACAGAGATATTGCAGGTCACTGTGATTTAAAGTAGCATCATTAGGATGCTAAGGGAAATACAAACTAAGCCATACTCTGCCAGGTAAAGAGAGTGTAAGGGAGATGTGCCTGGCTGCAGGGTACTTAGGTAGATGGTTTAGATTATTGTGTTGGCTCCTAAGAGCCACATTAAGACCGAAGGATAAAAATCAGCCGCAGGAACACAGAGCTTTCTAATATTCAAGACTGTTCAAAATTTGGCAATGCTTTCTGAAAAAATGTACAAACTACACTGATACCTTTTGACTATATGCCTAGAACCTTTTGTTGGATAATCTATAGAAAGTGGTTGGATATTAGATAAGAAATTTGAACCACATGTAGATCTTGTTTATGGCACCCTGACTCTGGCATTAGCATTCAGATTGATTTACAAAAGCACAGATGCATAAGTCATCTAAACCAGAGTAGTGAAAAGAACATGGCACTCATGGTCAGAGAGTCCTGGGTCAGGACCCCAGTTCCAGCTTTGTGACCTGCACCATTAGCTGTCATCCTCCCAAGCCTCAATTTTCTTATCTATAAAATGAGGATTATAACAACTGTTTTGGAAGATCAGAGCCATACATAGTAATGCACAATGAATTATAGCTGCTATGGTGAGTCTATTAGAGAAAACAAGTGAAGTCTAAGAGATTGTCATAGCCAAGAGAAACCTAATGAGACATGATGAAGAAATCTAATGTTCTAGATGGGATGATGGAACAGAAGAAGGCCATTAGATAAAACATTAAGAAAATTTGAATAAATAAGGACTTGAGTTAATAACAATGAAAAAATGGTTTAGAAGAAAACACTTCTGTACCGAGACCAGCTCAGCCGTAGAGTCCCCCACCCAGGTGGTGCTGAAGGCATTGAGAAGCAGACACCCAGAGAACAGCAAAGTGGGACTATCCAGGGACCAACGGCCTTCTGAGCTGAGCCTCAGGGGCTGACGGCATTCCGCCAGGCTGACAGCCTCAAGCAGATTCTGACCCGTGTAGTTGTTCTGTCTGAACAGGTGATTGTTATTAACAAACAGGTGTTCTGTGTTTTCTCATAGAACCAAGACAAACTAGGTAGGCAGCTGCTGCCTGCTTACCACTGATCCAGGACCGACCAGAAAGCATTCTCCACGAGGGAGCCACGGGGGCGGGTCACATATCCCATGCTTACATAATTGTTTTAACTGGTGTATGGTATACATATACTGTTTTGCTACTTTAGAACGCCCCAATCTGTTTCCCACTTGCACGGGGGAGGCTAGGCTTTCCTTGCCATCATTCTCAGCAAATAATATATTTTATCATACACTCAGCATTTCTCAGCAGCTCTGGGTTCAGGGCCCAGCTTTGCCTGTTCCTAGCTGTGTGTGATATTACTTTCCTTGACTGTAAAATGGGAATGATAGTAGTATTTACCTTGTGTTATCATAAAGGTCAAACAATAAATCATATGAACCTGTTGTATATACCGTAACGCTCAGCATAAGTTAGCTACCGAAATGATGAATCTTCCCTACATATATATTTGGAAGACAGTGAGGTAAACTTCAGTATTTCTGAGGAGTGTGGCTTAGGCTAAAAGAGGAAAAGCAGTATCACCGGTGAAGCAAGTGCTGGTACAAAACCTGGAGAAAAGCATATGTAGCAAAGGAGGGCAAAAGGGTTCAGTATCCGTAATTATCATCCGTGACTCTGGGAAATTATTGGACACAATGTCAAGCACCAGTTAGGGAAAGTAATTGGTAGGAACTTACCAGGGCTGATCCTGTTTTCTGATAAATAGTGGAAAAAGATAAAACAAGGCAGATTTCAGAAGTAATAATCGAGATCTAATGTAGAGGGATGGTTAAATAAATGATAGTAAATCTCTATGATGGGCTTTGCGGCATACATAGAAATCTTGATTTTGAAGATTCATGATCCAGAAAAGTTCTCAAAACATAAGGTTAAGATTAAAAAGCAAGTTACAAAAGTATACACGTATCATGACTCAGTTCTGTAAAATAAATGTTTCCACACAGAGAAAACATGGAAGATATACGCTAATGACATTGATATGTTTCTCTGGAGTAGGGAAGAGGGAGGCTCACAGATTATTTTAATTTTGTTATTTGTAATTCTTTTACCTTAAAACTTTGTGCAGTAAGCACATAATGCAAGCTATTATACTTTTTTAACCTGTAAAAGTTAAATCTAGGGGAAGAAGAAGAAAAGTATAGCCACAAAGATTACCGTTCTCAGGACTGGAGAACAAACAGAGGTTGGAGCACTTTCCAAGAGCCTGTCATCCGGAGCTCTCTGGGGAGCTGCAATCGCCATTCAAAGATTTATTTCCTGTTTTCTTCGCATCCAAATATTTATCATGGCACTAGGTAGATACTACTTAGGTATCCTGCATTCCCTCATATAAAGTTTTCTCTTCGAGAAAATCATCCAAGTTCTTAACAGGGAAGAGAGCCAGTAGGAAGGTATTTAAAGATCTTGTATCAGGAAGGAGACATCTCTAAGACTGTCTCATTGGAAAAGTTCTCCTACCTAAAAATGGAGATAGGTATGGAGATAGGGATGAAAGAAGCAGAGGTGGTTATCAGAGCCCCTTCCTGTCCAAAAAGAGAACTCTTATTCAGCATCTGGAATCAACTTGAAATTCATTATGCATCTTATGGATTAATTAGCACCTTCTACAGAGATTCTGATTTAAACAGTCTAAAGTAAGACCTCTACATTGTTTTTTTTTTTTTAAAGAGTTCCCTTAGGGATTACATTAGAACCACTGATTAACGTTTTGTCTATAAGTTTTCTGCTGCTCATATTTTGGTCACTTTATTATTAGGGTATGGTGTCTCTGAAGGATAATCAAGAAAAGGGAAAAACTAAAGAAATAACATTATTTTCTTATTAATTCACTGTCTCTTTCAAAAAAAAAGGTTAGAATTTATATTTATATGTCATTCTGGTAAGTTTTGACAATTGATGGCTGAAACTAGACATTAAAATGAGTTATTTTTCTTTTCTCCCTCCTGATTTCATTTTCTCCTGCAATCATTTCCTGCTTTTCTCATTAGCATAGCTAATTGATGGTTAGTTGCACAAGCAGCAGCAGTGGTCTATAATTTGAAGCATTGCTAATTAACCCTGATTCATGCATTGAGTTCTACGAAAATATCTCCATCTTTTTACAAACTCAGAATGATATTTCTAACTGGAAAAAGAAACAATGCTCATCTTCCAATAGTTATTGAACATTCAAGCACCATAGACACCCCACAGACTGTACAGTAGACCTTAGAATTCAAAAAGGCATCCTTGGTTTAATGCCACACCTGTTCCAAAGGGCTGTGCAAGCAGAACAAAAGAAACTGGAGAATGTAGGAAAACACTAGAAAGAGTTAACACCTTTAAAATAGACACATATTATTGTTTCCTTTGCAATCACATGAATAGTACAGATAATTTAAACAATAAAGAAAAACTTTTCCATAATTTTAACAGGTAGCAATAATGAGCAATAATAATGCACGGGTTTCCGTTCTTTCAGCAATTTTTTATATGCACAAAAAGTAGATTAGACTGCTCTGTAACTTGCTCATTTCACTTAATATTATGAAGCATGTCATTAAATATTCTTCTGTGGTATTATTTTAATGCTGGTATTATCATAATTTAATATCCTCTTTTTAGACTTTTTAATTGTCCCTAGGTTTTTACTCTCGTGAATCTCTGCTGTTACAGCTAAATGCTTGCACACTAGTAATTAGTTCTTTGGGATAAAGTTCTAAATGCACAAGTGCTGGGCTAAAAAATGTATAACATTTTAAGTCTTTAATAACATACAGTTATAAATGGCCCCAGTCTGAATTGTACTGATTTATACTGCTATTAGCAGTGGAAGGGCTACCTTTTTACACCATTCTTAACAACAAAATTAAAAAATCTTTGAATAGTTTATAGTAGTTAATAGCGATTTTACGGTGGTTGTTTGGGATAGTTGAGGAGTTTTTAAGAGTTAGGCTATGTGTTAAAGCTAAAGCCTACCATTCCCAAATGGCTCTTCAAAATCTCTTGTCCTCTCTCCCTTTCCTACCCCACAGAACATAGCATCTGCACAGTGTCTTGCAAACAGTAGCTATTTAATATTCTATATCACCCCGATGACAGCATCTTTTCTTAACGAGCTGACATCACTAAATTATGGTAGAAGACTTTTTTTTTTTTTTTTTTTCAGACAGAGTTTCGCTCTTGTTACCCAGGCTGGAGTGCAATGGCGCGATCTCCGCTCACCGCAACCTCCTCCTCCTGGGTTCAGGCAATTCTCCTGCCTCAGCCTCCTGAGTAGCTGGGATTACAGGCACGCGCCACCATGCCCAGCTAATTTTTTATATTTTTAGTAGAGACGGGGTTTCTCCATGTTGACCAGGATGGTCTCGATCTCTTGACCTCGTGATCCACCCGCCTCGGCCTCCCAAAGTGCTGGGATTACAGGCTTGAGCCACCGCGGAAGAAGACTTTTATAACCTACGCTAAAGCACAAACTCAGTTCTTTAAAAGCTCTAGGTCTAGTAAAATAAGTTCAAACTGTAAATATTTACAGCCATCTTCTTACAAACTTAATAATACAAATACATAGTGTAGCTTTTAAAGTTTATTTTCTTCGTTCTCTTTTCCCCTCTGGGTCTACACTCCTAAATTACATAGATGTTGTATCTCAGCACCAGGTCTGATACATAGCATTTACTACACTAACGGTAGGCATAGCTAAATCTAGGTGTCTACACAGAATAAGGAGATTATATTTATTTCCCAAATAGCTTGTAAATTTTGTTCACAAAATGTTGATACATTAATAACCATTTCATTTTAACCTAGTTATATATGTCCTTGTTACTTTGTAGCTTTTAAAATAAGAATCATTTCAAAGCTATAAATTTCCCTCCAAGTAAGGCTTAAGAGTCATCCTGTGAATTTTGTTTAATTATAGTTTATATCTGATTCCCACTGTGATTACTCTTGGTCCATAAGTTGAAATGTTTCCTAAATTCTAAATACACATGGTTTATGTAACATTTTTTTTGTAATTCACTTTTAAATCTAATTGCATTGTAGGTGGAAAATGTGCTATATAGTAGCCATCTTTTGAAATTTGCTGAGGATTGCTTTATGCCCCTTTATTAAATATTAATAACTTTTTAATATGTGCTTGAAAAATATATGAATTTCTCTATTTGGGGATGTAGTGTTCTATGTACATCCATCACATCAATATGTTAGTTATGTTATTTAAACTTCTATGTCCTTACTGATTTTTAGCCTGCTTGATTTAAAAATTATGAAGAGATATGTTTAAGTCTTCCATTCTGATGGCGGATCTGTCTGGTTCTTCTTATTTTCATTTTTTTTAATGTATTTTGAGACTATGTGACTATTGAATATTGATTAAGAGTTATCTGCTCTTGGTGAATGGATTCCTTATATTATTGTGTAGTGACTTTCATCTCTTGCAATTTTTGGCTCTACTGAAGTTTATTTTATCTAATATTATTATGAATGCATCTGCTATCTTTCGTAGTGTTTGCTTCACCTAGCTATTTTCATCCATTTCATTCATCATCTTGCATGTTTTAGACTGTGTCCATAGAACATTTAGCTATTTTTACTTACCGTAATTACTGATATAGTTGGATTTCCTTCATGTTATTTTTCTTGCTTCTGTATGTTTATTTTTTCTTTCCTCTCTGCTTTTTGCTTGATAGTTTTTTCTGTTGTTCAGTTTTTCTTATTAACTTGGAAATTATACATTCATCTTGTTTTGTTTTTTTTAATCCTAGAGCTATCAATATGCATACATGATTTTTAAAGTAAAAATTAATACATTTACAGTCCTTGCACATAACATTAAAACCATAGAATATTTTAGAACTGTCCGTCCCATTCCAAGTTACATACTATTGTTATCATGTATTTTAAGTCTATTATTTATTTATTTATTCATTTATTTTGAGACTGAGTCTCACCCTGTTGCCCAGATCGGAGTGCAATGGTGCCATCTCAGCTTACTGCAACCTCCGCCTCCGGGGTTCAAGGGATTCTCCTGTCTCAGCCTCCCAAGTATCTGGGATTACAGGTGTGTGCCGCCATGCCCAGGATAATTTTTTTATTTTTAGTTGAGATGGGGTTTCACCATCTTGGCCAGGTTGGTCTTGAATTCCTGACCTGTGATCCACCCGCCTCTGCCTCCCAAAATGCTGGGATTACAGGCATGAGTCACTGCACCCTGCCCAAATGTATTTTTAATTCACAAAATATGACCATTATTTTTTCATCTAGTAATATTTGTTTAGATTTTCCTGTATAATTGTCATTGTTTTGCTCATCTAATTCTTCTTGCATTTCAGAAATTCCATCTGGGTTTACTCTTACTCTAGGAAAAGTGCATCCTTCAAAATCCGCTTTATTCGAGGCCTGGTGGAGGGAAAGTCACCATTTGTCTGAAAGTTCTTTATTTCACCTTTGCTCTCGACATATCATGTTGCCAGATACTGACTTTTACGGTGACAGCTATTTCCCCTCAGAAGTCTGAGATTATTTTTCCCTCAGAACTGCCTGAATTCCTCTGCTGCTGTTGAGAAGTCAGCTCTTTGTCTCTGCAACTCCCTTGTAGGTCTCTGTGGTTTTGCTCTGGCTGCTTTAAGGATTTTTTCTCTGTCTTTTGGAGTTCTGCAGTTTCAGTACAATATGCCTAGAGTCGGTGTTTTTGTTTTTTTTAAATCCTGCTTAAGATTCATGGGGCTACCTGAATCTGTGATTTGCTCTCTCTCATCAGCTCTAGAAAAGTCTCAGCTCTTTACTCTTTAGTATCTCTCTCTCTCCACTCCCTCCTTCACCCTAACCATCTCTCTCCGCCTTTCTCCTGGGACTAAGACATAGATTCATCTGTCTCACTCTAAGCCTCTTCAGTACTGTTCGTCCTCTCCACCACTTTGTGCTGCATGCCGTATGATTTTTAATGATCCATCTTTTAATTCACTCACGCTCAGTGCAGCTGTATTTAATCAATTGTTAAAGTCATCATGAAAGTTTGTAACATTATATATTTTGCTCTTTTTAAAATATATTTGACTATGTGTCATAGTTCCTTTTCTCTATATTTTCCATCTCTTAATGATTTAAACCCAGTACATTGAATTATTGAACACTCTGTTTATCTTTCCCATCTCTGAAGCCTGATTCTACCCTGTGTTATTCCCGCTAGATCTCACAAATGGTGACTTATTTTCTTATGTTATTTCCATAATTTTGGCTGTATACATTCATAATTCTTGGAGCTTTGTGTATGGGAACACTTTAAAGCCTAAGCCAAAGGTGAGTTTCTCCAGAGAGGATTTGCAATTGCTTATACCAGATGTCTATGGCACTATCTGCCCAAGGCAACTTTAAACTAAATTCATAGGTTGAGGTTTTTTTGTTTTGTTTAACACCCAGTTAGAATGAATTCAGACAGCAAACATGTATGAGGGCCAATTTGTGGTTAGAAATTCTTAGGAAAGTTAGATGATTTTCCCCTTCCATCTGCACCGCAGTTTGGAATAGATATTTTGTTAATGAAGTCACTTGGGTTTTATTATTTCTAGATTCCATTAAGATCGATGGGACTCCTCCTTAGGCTTTTTCTCTTGATGCTGTGAAATTTGAAGGACAAATCTGATTTGCTAAATATCTTCAAAGCAGAAACTAGATTCAGCCTACGGTTACCTCTCTGCATGTCTAAGACCCTTAGTATCTTTTACTAAATGGTCCATGCATCAGTGTATTTTTATGAGTTTGAAAATCGTCTATCCAGCATTTTCAGTTTTTCTTCAGTGGACTGGTGTGATGGTTAATACTGTCAACTTGATTGAACTGAAGGATGCAAAGTATTGATCCTGGACGTGTCTGGGAGGGTGTTGCCGAAACAGATTAACATTTGAGTCAGTGGGCTGGGAAAGGCAGACCCACCCTTAATCTGGGTGGGCACCATCTAATCAGCTGCCAATGCGGCCAGAATATAAAAACAGGCAGAAAAACACCAGCTGGCTTAATTCAAGTCTTCAAAGGTTTTCAGAAAATGTTTCAGCTAATATCTCCAAAATTTCAACACTGACAAAGATAAGACATAATTATGCATACATGATCATACATACTTTCATAAGCATGTATAACAAATTTTATAAGTCACTTTCTTCTCCTTTATCTTTAGCAATTGTGTGATCTCAGCTCACTGCAACCTCCACCTCCCAATTTCAAACACCTCTCCTGTCTCAGCCTCTCAAGTAGCTGGGATTACAGGTGCCTGCCACCATGCCCAGCTATTTTTTTTTTTTTTTTTTTTTTTTTGTATTTTTAGTAGAGATGGGGTTTCACCATGTTGGCCAGGCTGGTCTCAAACTCCTGACCTCAAGTGATCCACCCACCTTGGCCTCCCAGAGTGCTGGGATTACAGGCATGAGCCACGGTGCCCGGCCTTCTTCCCTTTCTTAAGTTAAACATACACAGGTCTCTTAACAGCACCAGGTGGTCCCCAGCACAGTCCAGTGGGTTTCTAGCCATTAGGTCCTTCTGCTGGGGACCGTGATCATTACTCCAGCTCAGTCTGATTCGACGGGGGATGGGGAAAATTCTTTGTGCTACTTCGTTGCTTGTTACACCATCATTGAGGCCAGACTCAGGTGTGCTTGCAGCCCCGAACAGGCCCAGTAGTTTCCTTTTGTGCTCTGAATGCAGAGCCATGTATGCACTGGTGCCCAGCTGAGGGCTCACAGGCCCCTGGCCAAGCGTCTCAGGGAAGTAAGTATTTGGTCTGTTACTCACCTCTTAGCAAATGTTCTGCCATATTGTTAAGAGCTCACAGAGAGCTTGCCTTTGGCCAGAATCCCCACGTCACCCTACTCTATTAATATGCCCCTTTAAAAAAAAAATTTTCTATCCATGCAATCACAGAAATATTCCCTTTTTAAAACCTAAATGTAAGACTTTGTTTTTTCTGAATACATTTTAGCATATTGGTTCCAGTCTGATTTTAGACCCTTCTTTCAAAGCCCCAACTCCAAATTCCCCTCCCCTCCACTTTCTCACTCCACCCTCCTGCCTCCTGTAAACAGAGGATCTATTCCTAATAGTGAACATCGGGTGTGGTGTGGGCAGTAAACTATCAGAAAGGACACTAACCACAGCGCAGGGGCTAAGGGTGTGGCCAGACCCAGGCCCCTGCTGTACCAGGCTTTACTCCTTTTTGGTGGTGGGAGGTTGATTACAGAAAGGTCTAAGGGGTCCTGGTGGGAAGAGTGAGTTTGCTGGGCTGGTAGGGGAGGGGCCTGCAGGTGTTCCTCACAGTGGCTATTACCAGTTGATAAGGAGCTACTTCAGTATTGTATTACCTGTCGTGGGAACCTGACCAGTCTTTTGAATTTGAGGTCTTTCTGGACTGAGAAAGTGTGATGTCCCTGACGCTCCTGGCAGGGGAAGTGGAGTACAGAACCGTGACTTGCTCGTGGTCCACAGGCAGAGAGCGGCAGACTCAGGATCCTCACTCTCATCACCAGCTCCTGCCTGTGGCCACGTCCCCACGTTTGCCAGTATGACCAGACAGGATCAAGGACAAGAGAAGTGGCAGGAAATCAGCAAAAGGATTTTTCCATGAAGCCAGACACAAAGACACCTACTATATGATTAAAACGTATATGAAATTTCTACCAAAAAAAAAATAAGAAGGCACAACTCTACAGACCGAAAGGAGACCCATAGTCAGAGACATCAAAGATATCTACTTTTTTGACTAAAAACGGGCAGGATGGACCTTTTTCGGTGACGGAAGTGTTAGAAAGAAACTGGATGGTGGTGGTGCTTGCACAATCAGATGAATTTACTAAAATTCATCAAACTATATTTAAAGTGGGTGAATGTTATTTATATAAACTCTACCTCAGTAAAGCTGTTAACAAGGATTAAAAAAACAAAGAGGCCTGGCACTGTGGCTAATGCCTGGAATCCCAACACTTTGGGAGGCCAAAGCAGGTGGACTGTTGAGGTCAGAAGTTTGAGACCAGCCTGGCCAACGTGTTGAAACCCCATCTGCACTAAAATCCAAAAATTACTTGGGCATGGTGGCAGGTACGTGTAATCCCAGCTACTCGGGAGGCTGAGGCAGGATAATTCTGTCTCTAAGGACAGAAGTTGGGCACTTCAAAGTTGGTGTCAACTCCTTCTCACAAGTGATCTCAGTTAATAGAGCTATTTAAAATGGCCAGTTTATTTCTAGCCGCTCCATAAGAAAAATACTGGCTTTCTGAAATCCCTTAGGACAGTGGTAACCCACATTATATTTATTCACGAGGTCAGTGTGGTTCAATTGTCTAAATATTTACTGATAGCCCACCCAGTGACAGGCACTTTTCAAGGCCAGTCTGAGACAGTTGCTGGCCGCAGGTAACTGGTACTCAACTGAAAATAGAGAACTTGATGTTTGTGGCATGGAAGATGAGGTTTCAAGGAATCGTAACCAAGAGAAGCAAATATAGTGCATATGACTTACTAATTACTGAATTATCTGCAAAGACATTCTTTTTGTTTAACGTAACATGCTTTCAATGATTTTTCGACAATAAACAACATGTAATACAAGTGAAGTTTCAAATAAAAAAGAACCAGATCCAAGTTAATTACTTAAAATGATAAAACTTCCTGTTCTGAAACAGCAAATGCTGAAATGTTTTCTTGCTTACAGGATGACTTAACCCTAATTTTCCGCTTTGGCTCCTTATTGCCAGGTATTTCCCTCCTCAACACCGTGTGTCGTGCTCTCCGTTGCATCTGTGGCTCCCTTCCAACAAAGCCCGCCTGGTATCTGCCTCACAGTCGGCCCAAAAGAAACTTGGCAGTTGTGGTATGTCCCATCTCTTCATCTGAACCGCAGCTTCTACATAATGTTCTCTTCCACTATTGACTGCTGGATGACATCGCATAGAGAACAGCAGCCATTTACTTGCTCACAAGGCTGTAGTTTGGCCCAGACTCGGCGGGGGAGGCTTATTGCTGCTGCTTGTGGCATCACTTTGATGGGGCCTAAATGGCCTTGGGAAAAAGGCCTCTTTCACCTGGCTGGCAGGTGGTGCAGTCAGCCAGGAGCTCAGCTGGAGCTCTCCGGCAAGATGGCCCAGTTTCCCTCCAGATGGCTCACCTGGGATTCTCATAGCATAGCAGCTGGATTCTGACAGATTCTTTGCTTGACCAAATTTTTGACAGGCTCCTGAATTTTCTCCTAGGCTCATCTGTACCCTTTTTGTAAAATCCAGTACCTGGTCCGACAGGTCTCTGGTAATATGGGACCAGGTGTGATTTCTAGGGAGAAGAGAGGTTTATAGGCTGGTGTTTGGCATATAGCAGACGCTCTGTAAATATCTGCTAACATTGAATGAAGAGAGCACTGCCCACCTCTGAGAGAGTGTCCGAGATGGCAGCAGCACTGAGGAGGTGAAAGGAAACTCCTGGATGTTTCCAGAATCTAACTGTGCAGCTTCTGCTAATGGAAAATCTGTTTGCTCACCAAGGAGGCTTCAGGAGAAGATCTTCTCCAAAAAGTGCACCCTCATCTGTACCCTTTTTGTAAAATCCTCAGGCCAGGAAATGCCAAGAGGCAGCTGGGCGCAGTGCTCACGACTGTAATCCCAGCACTTTGGGAGGCCGAGGCGGGTGGTTCATGAGGTCAGCAGATCGAGACCATCCTGGCTAACATAGTGAAACTCCGTCTCTACTAAAAAAAAAAAAAAAAAAAAAAATTAGGGTGGTGGTGACATGCGCCTGTAGTTACAGCTACTCAGGAGGCTGAGGCAGGAGAATTGTGTGAACCCAGGAGGCAGAGGTTGCAGTGAGCTGAGATTGTGCCACTGCACTCCAGCCTTGGTGACAGAGCAAGACTCTGTCTCAAAAAAAAAAAAAAAAAAAGAAGGAAACGAGGCTAAGAAGAGCAGGCTCCTCGGGACCCCCAGTGCGATCCTGGGGTGTACCGTGAGTTTGCAGAGCCTTAGTGAAGCCCCCCTCAATGAATGCTGAATATGAACTATACATGTCTCCTGTTGTAAGTTCAACATAAATTTGAGCCTCTTTAAATTCATTTTTTTTTTTCAGTTTTCACAGGATGGGTTCACCAGAAAGCTAGCTCTGAGTTGGAGACTGGTGTGCAAGAGGGTTGTTGGGGGTGCTCTTGGAATCAACAACTGTGGATGGGAAGGAAAGGAAGAAGGTAGGATTGGGCAAAGGGAAAGTTGAGCTGCGATGCTGTCCCCACAGAGGCCTCAGCCTACCTAGTTCTGAAGATGGGGTGATTTTTCACAGCTGTTCCGAATTGAGGTGAGGGGATGGACTTTGATGTTTATGCATTGATCAGGTATTAGATGAGCTGCCGGGCATGTGATGACCTTGCGATAGCTGGCTCTCAGCCAACACAGCTCCCTCAGGGAGCGGACAGCCGAAGTCGTCTGCCAGTGGCAGCTGAGTTTACAAATCCATTGTTCCTAAAGGGAGATCTGGGTGTTGCATCGCAGTGTCCACCACAATTGGGGAGCATAAGTTACTACAAAACAGTAATGTAGAAAAGAGAAGCCCTTTCACCACCAAATCGTTGTCCCAGTCACGGCCTCGTCCCTTGCTGTGCAGAGCATGCGTGAAACTATGTCATTCTCCAATTTTTGTTCCCTCAGCTCCATTAGTCAAACTCCAAGAACCAAAGGATGCGGATTTGGTGTTAGGAGACGAACACTCAGACCATTTCCTGTTACATAACAGGTGCTCAACAAATATTGAACAAGCCAACAAAATGAGAAACCGTAACTGGCAAGAAGCTTGATTTGTATTTGCGATATTCTCAGGAGTCAGGTATAGAGAGAGGGAATACGCTCCAAAGCATATTCAATGGAACTACCCGAGGGAATCGTCAAAACAGATTGGGTCATAGCCGTGCAGAGTCTGATGCTGTGATTGAATGATGGCGGCCCCTTCAATCTTCAGATGTCTTGTGTGGTTCTTTGGGCTTCTCCAGAGAAGGGAACGAGACAATAAGGAACACAGTCTTCCTCCCCCTTAATCCGCAGCACATCTTGTCATGGTAACAATGGCCCCCGTCTTGTCCACAGTCAAAGGGGAAATCTCAGCACGGTGGACACTCAGTCTTGTTCCTTGTAGCTTGAACACCTGGCATTTCCAAAGCAGCATGCTAGTGTAAAAGGTGCACAGAGCTCAAACCGCACGCGGGTTTTCCGGCTTAGCTTGTGTCAGTTGCTGCCACTGGGCTCCCTATACGTTAATGCCAACAACCGGCAGTGCCAGGCATCTGAGCTGCACTGACATCCCCTCATTAACCTCAGGGTCTTGCTTTGCTTGCCTTTCGCCAGTGACTGGAGAGCTAACTTCTTCCCATAGTTCAATGAAATGAAATTAGATTTAGGGAGAGGAAGTTTCTTCCTTCTGCCCTTTCCAGGAAGAATCAATCTAATTAACATGTTCATGCCCCCAGAACTTTTTAAAATCTCTCCCTCCTGTTTCAATTAAACTCATTAGTGACACTGATTTCTTTTTTAAGTTATTAGAAGGTTGAAGCGGGTTGCAAGGCCTATTCAGAACAAGGCATTTGCACAGCGACACCCCAGAGTGGGTGCTCCTGTAGCCACAAGAGCAAGTCCATTGCTTTTCCTTCTCGGACGGGCCAAACACAGTCACCCCCAGTCTTCTTTGGGCCAGCCACCTCTGGACCATCAGGTTGCCCTCAGACCCTAACGCACTCAAGGGTGTTGGTTTCTAGCCCTCTGCTCAGGCCTCAGAGGCACCTGGGACCCAGAAATCCAGGAAAGCTGAGCTTTTCCACCCGCAGGAGGTAAGTGGTATGGTGGAGAGCAGAAAGAGGCCAGAGTGCTGGAAAGATGCTCAGGAGACCCGTTTCCATCTGAACGTGAGGCTCTACATGTCCTGCTTTTGTCACGGCTCAGGTCTCTACTAATGAATATTAACTTACTCACCTAAGAGGTGGAAAGGGCACGCATTCTCTCCAGCATGCGCCATCCCTTCAGCCAGGAATGCTAGGTGGCCTTTGTATTAATTACACCTTCTGATTTTCTGTAATTATTATTATTGAGACAGTCCCACTCTGTTGCCTCTGTAGTGCAATGGTGTGATCTCAGCTCACCGCAACCTCTGCCTCCCAGGTTCAGGCAAATGCTTGTGTCTCAGCCTCCCCATTATCAGGGATTACAGGTATATACCACTGTGCCTGGCTAATTTTTGTATTAGCCATATTGGCCAGGCTGGTCTCGAACTCCTGGTCTCACGTGTCTGGCCTGCCTTGGCCTCCCAAAGTGCTGGGATTTACAGGCGTGAGCCACCATGACGGGCCAATTTTCTGTAATTCTGTATCTTGGGGCTTTGCTGACACTAAAGGGACTGTCTCTCTCAGGGCTGGCCACTTCTCAGAGGCAGTGTATGAATCACCTGGAAGCGTGCTTTTCATATGCAAACTAACCAACCCAGCGTCTCCCCACCCCACAACCACCTTTAAGTGGAAGTGGGCTCTCACACTCCAGGCTACTATTTCCCACCATAAACACCCCAAGGCCAGGTACTAGACAGCTCAGGACAGCTGCTCTATCCTGAGCCCTCTGAATTATTCAAACTAGCAATCCTAAGCCTGCGTACCTGACCTCACTCATTCTTTCTCATGGGAAACACAGTAAGAGCATTTGCCCACATTTCCTTCTACCTCCCGCTGGCTCCTGACCAAACCTGGTGCTTCTCCATGTGGCCCTGCATGGTATGGTGTGCCCTGTTTTCTTGGGAACTGTGAGGAATTGGAGATTTTTTTTTTTTTTGAGGGAGAGTTTCACCCTTGTTGACCAGGCTGGAGTACAATGGCACAGTCTTGGCTCACCGAAACCTCCACCTCCCGGGTTCAAGCGATTCTCCTGCCTCAGGCTCCTCAGTAGTTGGGATTACAGGCATGTGCCACCACACCCTGCTAATTTTGCATTTTTAGTAGAGATGGGGTTTCTCCATGTTGGTCAGGCTTGTCTCGAACTCCTGACCTTAGGTGATCTGCCCGCCTCGGCCTCCCAAAGTGCTGGGATTATAGGCATGAGCCACCGCGCCCGGCCTCATCTTTTCAATAGTAGTTGTCTCTTGATGTGTTGATCTCACCATACCTAAATACTAAGAAAACCTGCATTTAAAACAGCTTCCTAGTCCCTGTCTTGGAAGACAAAGTCCCGTAACCATTCACCGTGGTGGAGGAAAGCCGTCTCTCTCCCTGGGTCTGAACAGGGGCTTGAAGGCGCATGCAGCTGAGCCTGCTTCACTCTCCCTCCCGGCCAGCCAGGAAGACGATGCCTGGCAATGCAGTTTCAGATCCTGTTTCAATTTTGGAATCATGTTCTCCTTATAGGTATTAACTTAATTTTTACACATTTTTAAGACCCATTAAAGAAAATCCTCAAAAGCACGTATGGTATAGGAGGATGGGAGACAGCTTGGAAGACAAGAGAAAGGAATACATGTCCACGAGAAGAACCTTTTCCAGTTCACTTCCAAAACATACCCCTTCCCTACCCTGCCCTTCCCTACCCTTCCCTGTGCCCTGCCCTGCCCTGCCCTGCCCTACGAGGCCCGGGATGGCCGTGTTGGTTTCTACCCTTGCTTGGACCATCATCTCTCTGGTAGTCTCATGAAGTCTCAGGACTCCTTCTCATAGCAAATATTTCATACAAATAAAGAAGAATACAGGGCATTATAGAGGAAACTAACAATACTGAAACACGGTTATTAGGCTACGTTAAAGTCAACGCACTGCTTTATTAATTCTTTAAATAACACAATGTAGCCTTGTAAGTACCTCATTTTGAAGCAGTGGTGACTGGGAGAATGTATCACAGTATCTGCAGTGGTTGTAAACTGATCCGAAAGTGCTTGTGATTTACACCGTCCCAGGCACCGTGAATACTATTATAGTTGGACATGCTAATAACTGGAAGAAATTCTAAATTGCAAAGGAGGCTAATGAAAATAGAGAAGCCATTTTTTTCCCCACAATTCAAGCTCACAGACTGATGCCCGGCATTCTCCCCAGCCCATGGCATGCAGGATACGCACTCTTTCTAGAGCTTGGACAATTAGTAGCAGGTGGAGGAACTGGTCTCCTCTGCTGAGTGTGCCTGAGCCACAGCAGTGCTGGCTTCAGCTAGGAGTGCCCACCAGTGGTTTCAGCCAGCAAATCATATTCGTACTTGCAAATGGTCCCCGCTTCCCTCACACCTTCATTATAGGCAAAGAAGGCTCCATCAAGGTGCCTGGGATGCAGAAAGAGCAAACTAGCTAAGTGCCCTTTGGACAAAATCTGTCTCTGCCCTGTGGAAATGGAAAGGCGAGGGGGTTCTGGTCCTTCTCTGTCTCCAGTGAGAGATCTGTCCAGGTGTCATAGAACTGAATTATCTCATTTCTAGGCAAGGTGTATGGCCACCCTATGCTCATGAATTATCCGTGTTACATACCGAATTTCTGATGCCCAGAAGTCACCCTAACGATGCTGTAAAGGGATGGAAATAAAGCAAAAGACAAGGGAAACAGCATGCAAAGGTGGGATTGTAGCCTTGGGAGGGAGGAAGGTCACCTGGGGAAAGGAGAAGGTGGTGCATGATGAGTCAACCTCAAAACAACTTGATCACAGAGAGGACAGGCTTCAGTGAGGACAGGTCAGGCTAAAGGGTCAAATGTCCACTTAAATTCTTTGTTTTCAGTAAGTGGAAAGCAGTCTGTCTCTTCTCCCCACTCCTCTGAGGATGTGAGGGAAGAGCATGGGAGACCTGTTGACCCCTTGGGAACAGTCTAGGAATGTCCCCAAGATGAGCTTCTGCCTGCACGGACACCTCCCGTGTCCTCACTGCCGTGGGTAAGGACACTCCTACACGGAAGAATGCCTGTGCAGTTCACTTCTGAATTCTCTGCAGGGATTCCATGTCTAGAATGTCAAGCACATCTTCCCAGCAGTGGGTTTTCTGCATCCAGGCCACTATGATCTCATAAGAGGCAACCTGAAGTGGCCTCCACCCTGACAATGCTTCTGTCTTTGAGAGAATTCTTTTCTTCACATCTCCAGAAACTGCGGTTAAGTGTGTGCTCTTACTGTTAGACGAGACCTCACAGTCACTGTGTGTCACAGGGGGTGCAAAGCTGTGCCTAATCCTGCCATCCTGCAAGTCGTGGTTTGGGTGTGGAGCATGAAACAGGCCCCGGAGTAAGCCGTGTGTACCCAGTGCGACGGCTTCGCTGACTTAAACCTAATTCAAACTGTAATTGCAAACTGTATATGGATTACCCTGGTCCTATTCAAACGTGCCACTGGGCAATAACAGCAAGGACAGTGTACTTAGAGAAAACACATTTTGTTTCTACTGATTTCAAGAAATCTCTGACTAGGGAGAGTTTCTTCATGAGACAGATTTTCTGGTGTGGCTTAGAGATTTAATCTTTATTAAATTGCCCTAAAAAGGAAAGGAAGCTACAACTTTCAGTTGTGATTATGAAATAACACAGAATCTGACCTCAGACTAAGAAATCTTGAGATGCAATAAGTATGTCTCAAATGCTTTGTCCTACATTTTGAGGCTTAGTGATTTAGATAATGATCAACATTTCAAAACCCAGGCAGACCACCCTGGCTTTGGGCCAGTGATAACCCTTTGCAGAGAAGCCGAATTACCCCATTCTCCCACGTCTGTGTGTGATGCAAACACTGCATACCTCTTAACTCACCTTGATTATAGCCCCAGCAGATGAAATTATGGGCTGTTGCCGTGAGCGGAGCCTGTTCCTATTCTCAGCTCTGTGACGTGTGGTGTGCAGGAGCCAAGAGTCGCAGAAGGCTGGGATGTTAAAACGACGCAGCTCACTGAGCAGACGGTTTGCCCAGCCTATACCATCAGCAGGGAGGACAGACCGGGCTGCCCCAAAGCCTGGCTTTTAGCTACAGTTTTGCTTCATTCAGTCAAAACTCAGGAGAGAGAAACAAAAAATCAAAACACCAGAAAGAGGGAGAGAAAAGATTCCCTCCCTTCCATTGCTCTTTGTGTTTACCAGTTTGCCGCCCTGCTCTAGTTTTTAGCAGTTTGGCCAAGGGGTAGGGTTCTGGGCTAAAGAATTCAGGAAGGTAGGGTTTTAGGTGGAATAATTCAGGAGAAGCAGGACTCTAAGCATGGCAGAGAAAACAGTGAGCATCTAGGAAACCTCTACTGTTTTCACAGCATCTTTCATAGAGAGCAGAAATGAAGGCCAGCGTTATCATCCACAGCTACTGAAGGCACTGGTTCATGTTCTTGCTCTGAGGTAAAAGCAAAGGAAGACTGAGAATAAATAAAGGCACGTGGCTTTGACTGCACGGCCACACTGGGGCAGTGCTTTCAATCTAGCAAGTCAAAAAGTGTTAAACAGAAATATCCTTTCAAGGACACCTCAATTTAGGATTTTTCACACTTGGGACTGAGAACAGGTGTAATGTCTCAGGTGAAAATCGGGGTTGTCCTGCCTACTGAGATTTCCTGTTGCCATCCATTTCTTTCTCTGCAAAAAAAAAAAAAAAAAAAAAAAGTATTCTGTTTCTTTTCTCTGGGAATGCTGTTTTGCAGATGGAGTGTTAAAGTGGATAGCTAACAAAAGGAGCTGGATCACCTGGGGAAATGAGCTAACACAGGGCAGGGTCAAAGACATGAGATTGTCTTACCCACTATGAGCTGTCTGCCCCCACGTGTCTGTGGTCCTCTTCCAGCCAATTTTTTGTTACAATTGAGTTTTTGCCACCACTTGACACATGCCCCACCAATTGCTGGCCAACTGGGTCCCTTGCTAGTAGACCCAAACTGACCTATGTTAAGTAAAAATAAAATTCGTTAAGTCAGCGTGCTCAAAAGCTGCACAATGAATGCATCCCCAGAATAAGTGATAAAACAATTCCTAGATTATTTGGCCTCTGCTTCGTATATCCAAGAGGTGAATTACTAAATCCTTCTCATTCTTAAGTCTTAAACATGGCACAAAGTAAGAGTATCTGTGGTTTAGTATTCTAGGGGTTTTCTGGGAGGCTCCTACCCTTGCTCATCTGGTTGGTCCAGGTGGGTTCTCTGGGAGCCACAGCTCCTGATGGGCTCCACTGCTGCTCCAACACTTAGCTTCACCGGGTTCCCGGAGGAAGATAGCTCTCTTCACTTCTACTGGTACTTTACAAGGGAAACAGGAATCAAGGTGGTGTCTGTTGTGTCAAAATCCCAAAGGACCTCGAGAAGTTAGTTAGTACACTCTGCCTTAAGGGCATCTTTCTTTCAGGGACATGTCACAAATTCTAATATATTCACAACACAAACACAAAAGCCCACACATTTTGAGGAAAGATCTGCTAGCCACCAGCTCAGCAGATGTACATGGTAAAGCTGCTTTTCTATGCGTTTTTTTTTTTTTTTTTTTAGATGAAGTCTTTGTTGCCCAGGCTGGCATGCAGTGGCATGATCTCAGTTCACTGCAACCTCCCCCTCCCAGGTTCAAGTGAGTCTCCTGCCTCAGTCTCCCAAGTAACTAGGGTTACAGGTGCCCACCACCATGACCAACTAATTGTTGTAGTTTTTGTAGAGATGGGGTTTTACCATGTTGGCCAGGCTGGTCTCGAACTCCCGACCTCAAAGTTCATCCACCAACCTTGATTTCCCAAAGTGCATATATTCTTGATTGATGGCTGACAGAATATAGAAATGTGTGTCAGTCCAGGCTCTCCAAGAAGCATGTGCCAAGATGGAATTAGACCGCAGAATACTTATTTACTGGGGGAAATGGCTGTGAAGGATTAAAGTGGGCCGCCGTAGCAGGGACTGCCTTCAAACCACATTCAGGCTGATCACCTATAAAAGAAGATGGGGAATGAGGAAAGGAGATGTGGGTAGGGAGAGCTTTGGTGCAGCCCTGAGAAAGCCTTGGCCAGGCTGCAGGAGGGCACTAGAGAAACAGTTGCCCAGCAGAGACCTGTGTTGGGCAGCCCTAGGGAACCAAATGTCCTTGGGGGTTGGCAGGGAGAAGCCAGGGGAGTGCATGTGGCCTGGCTGCAGCATGACCACTGCAGAGGGTCTGAGGTGTGGCAGCTGGATCCTGATAGCCATGGTTGGCCCCCACATGCTCCCCATAGTCAAGTTCTCTTGAAGGAGACCTCTAGACCACCAGAAGCAGAGGGAAAATTTTTAAGGATCCTTGCTCAGCCACTTCACTGGATGCCTACCTCTAATCTATAGGGTTTATCTCTATACATCTTAGCTCTGATTATATTATTGCTTTAAAAAAATGCAATGGCTTCTACTGCATAGAGTCAGGATCCAACTACATAGCAAAGCACTAAGGCTACTCACTATCCGGGCTTCTCTCGGCTGAGAATAGTTCTCATGCTGAGACCCAGAGAGGTCCTACATAGCAAAGCACCAAGGCTACTCACTATCCGGGCTTCTCTTGGCTGAGAATAGTTCTCATGCTGAGACCCACAGAGGTCCTACATAGCAAAGCA